CACATGCCCTTTCATGACGCTGGCGTTAACTAGCAAGCGAGGACAGGCGTTGAAAACGAGCGGCCGACTCAGCCACCATGGCGGGCAAACAAGGGTACATTTGTGATGCAGTGACGTCATATCTCCTCCTCTTTTCTCACCCTCCTCACCCTCACTACCCGGGGAACAGTAATTTTTGCCCTGCTGCGGTGGTCTAGTGGCTAAGGTACTCGGCTGCTGACCCGCAGGTCGCGGGTTCGAATCCCGGCTGCGGCGGCTGCATTTCCGATGGAGGCGGAAATGTTGTAGGCCCGTGTGCTCAGATTTGGGCGCACGTTAAAGAACCCCAGGTGGTCGAAATTTCCGCAGCCCTCCACTACGGCGTCTCTCATAATCATATGGTGGTTTTGGGACGTTAAACCCCACATATCAATCAATCAATCAATCAATCAATCAATCAATCAATCAATCAATCAATCAATCAATCACTTTCACTACCCATTCCCGTGCTTTTCCTATACTCTACTACTCTATATTTTGCTATGCTATACTATTCCGAGGGGTGTCGTGAAGAGAAAATTGGTAACTGATTTTGCGGTGAACAACGCAAAATTTACCTACACTGAAACAGTGGAGAAGACAACGCAAACGTTGACGAACGTCTGTGCGCAAGTTTAGTGCGACGGAAGAAAAAGTATACCAAGAAAAAGAGCTGAAAAAACAAAAGGAAACAAACAAAAACATGAGCTCCCACATGATCACAGTGAAGAAATGCACGTCCGCCAAGAGTCGCGATATGACAATTTAATTTGAGAATGACATTATCTCTTTTTCTAGGAGAGCGAATGAGGGTTCTATAACACACGTGCTTCCTCCTGATCTGAAAAGCTTCCTCTATTCGGCGCTAAATCCGATATCGGTACCTGGAGTTTACCTCAAATTCGTTGAATATAAGAGCGGAGCCGCACAAGGAATAATGTGCTGTCGAGGTGCTGCTCGCTCAGGACTTGACATTGCAGGCGTGTTCTCTAAGATGATCCTTCAAGCAGGGCCTGGTTTATCCGTGTAAGAAAGCCCACACGTCAGAGGAATACTGTATACTGCGTTTTTCTACGCATTCGACGCAATGAGTGCTGTGTTTCTTGACACATGTTCGCTTGTTCATTACATCAGCATTGATTTGCTTGCTCGCGGGGAGCTGAAAAAAAAGAGCCGAACCACCACTTAAGATTTTCCAGTACGCAAGAACTGATGAAACACTGTAGCTGTTTGTTGTTTCTGTGCTGTGCGTTAAGAAGTGTTTATCCTGAAATGCTTTGCGCAGTGGCTTAATTGTCAAGGTACAAAGACGTTTCATTGAATACCCGGTACATTTCAACTATTGTATATGGGATTCAAAGCATTTTTGCGCTTGATGGAAGCAGGACCTCCTGAGTGCACTCCGGCGAAGACATGTTGCAACTGTGCTTTCCACTAGTTTCGTATGTGCCCAGTTGAAAGATCGAAGACCAATTTGAAACCTGGGCGCATACTCCCAGTTTATGCGTGCTGGCCACCGACTCTCAAAACAAAGTCCAAAAGCCGCAAGTGTGTATCCGTGGGCAACACAATAGTTACCGTAAAAGCGTCGAGAAAAGCCTTAAACACACAGAAGATCGCATCTGCTTCTTCGTCGAGTGACATGTTGTGTTCTAACAATACCAGGAAATCACTGATGAACCAGAAAATTTAGAGGGCACCATGGCCGGAAAGAGCAGCTTGCAACTGCCTGTGAGGGTTCATCAAAAGCAAATGACTCAACATGTGTGAAAATGCACAAGCCAATGAATATTCCCTCTTTCTGGATGTAAAAGCCCCCGCCTTTCATTGTCGCCTGTATTTACCCTGTGTTAGATATCTAACTTGTCGTGAATCTGTCCGTAATCCGCCCTTTTATCGGACCTCTGTGCTTCGCGGAAGCTGAGATGAAGTGGCGCGTGAAATATTGAAACCGCGGAAATTGACAGCATGGGCCTGTCGTGTTTTAGTGTCTCTTCTAGTTTGTTCGACCTAGAATGTTCAACCTAGAATCAGATAGAATGGTGGCTCACATGGTGTACGAGGGCTTTCTTTTTAGTGCTTCGGCACTTTTTGGCTTCATCTTGTTGCTACCGATGACTTCCGATAAACACGCTCTGTGAACAAAAAATAGGCTGTTTGTTGAAGTAAGCTCGCTGTGCCGTGTTCTTCGTGACATTAGTTTGTTTTTTATTGCTGTGGGCCCATTTTCTCAGATTAGTGTGCACGTTAAAGAAACCTAGATGGTCAACATTTCCAGAGTCGTTCATTACGGCGCCTCTTATATTTTGGTGGTTTTGGGACGTTAAACACCATGTATCGATCAATAATCTTCACTTGTTTTGTTCATTTTGTTATTCCTACGAAGTTACAGCGTACGGCACAAAGAGAAAGTTTGACAAAGAAAGAAAAATTCACAAGGAATGTCCTACTTCGATATTATCAGGAAGCGGGCCTCGCCATTTGCCTCAACTATTGCCACAGCGTTCCGAGAAAATAGATTCTGTCACTTGCGCAAAGCCTATCAGGTGGCAACGACACTTCTCATGCTACGCAGACGTCAAATCATGTCTCTTATCTTCCTAACATATACCGCACTTGAAAGTCCAACCAATCAAGCGTGTGAAATAATAAGAAATGAAATCAAATGTATTTAAAATGAAGTAATGAAAAGAAAATGAGTAATAATGACTATATCAGATGATGACAACTAACACGAAAATCCAGAAATAAAGTTAAACACCACAGTGATACCGTGGAAAACAGTTTAGGACTATGTTTTCAAATGGTTTTGCATCCTTTATTGTTGGAAGAATTTCAAGTAAGACGTTTGATTGTGGAATAGTTTAGGAAATAATTGAAGGTATGAATAAAAACTGCACTGTGAGGAAAACACAGTGCAGTCTTTCGAAAATTAACGTATCACGTTAGACAATATAAGTGGCTCGAATGTGCGATTTCGGACTGCTATAAAACCATCAGAACTACAATAAAACCTGTATCTTTCTTTTTTTCTTTACACTCTGTTTTATTTTTCTGTAAAATATAGATAACTAAAAGGAGAGATTATGTGAACAGGCATGTGAAAAATAAGGATCCTTCATGTGACTAAATTTTGTTTTTCTTTTACGTTTTCATTTGAGACAAACGCTACCTTTATCGTGTCTCGTAGGTGTTTAGATGTGATTAGTGGCTAACCCACTATTACTTCTCCAAATTTCTTAGACAACCATTTATCCGTTGTCGTATAGAGGTTATCGACAGTAAATGAAAGAAAAAACAGCTATTAGGCCATGGATTAGGCAAGCGTTAGAAATATCTCCAACCCGGATTGTGACTACTAAGCCGTAAGAGCCAATTAGGAAGAGGACTGCCGGCGACGTTTGCTTACCGATGATGTATGGAAGAAACCTGTCACGGTGGAATAGATTGAGCATGAATAAATAAAAAGAAAAGGGACCGCGTAGGCCAATATTAATCACCGTCATTCGTTGCTCACACTTTAAACAATCGGAAGAACTAAGTCTCCGGCTCTCCTCGTAGAGGCTGTGCAAATGAGCGTGCGCGAAATGCATCGAAATGGCCGAGGAATACCCACGCAGAAAACCTCAACGAAAACAGGGAACGGTATCACGCTGCGCCTTGCGGTGCTTCTGCTTTTCTTGGGCTCTTCACCTTTATCCCCCCACCAGTCTCCTCAGCTTGGAACTTTTATAGCCGAGACGCAGCTCCAGTCCTTGCCCCCGCCGCTTGCGCAACGGACCATGAGCGCGTCACGACGTATGATAATGATACCGCACCGAATGGGTGCCTCGGCAGCGGCGGTGTGTTGCATCTCGGTGAGAATGAGATTATCCTTTGGCTGAGGGAGGGAACTCTTGCACTTCGCTTCCGAGATGTCCCAAGGTCCCGCCTTTCCGGGCCGGGATCCAACGGGCGGTGTGTAATTACCGGGACCTCAACGTTAATGCCCCCTCCGAGAGTCGCGTCTGGCCGTAGACGACGGACGAAGGAAAAGACAATTACAAAAGAGCCGCAGACGAGGCAGGCAAGGTCGATCGCCGTAAGAGAGAGCGCGAAAGGGAAGAGCGGTACACGTCGCTTATCGTCTGTTCTCCTCGCGCGCGATGCGGCCTTTTACAAACACGGCTTTTAAAGCCCATACATCATGAGCGCACGCAAAGCAGGCTCCACTCAAGAAGCCGTGGACCCTTTCCGGAACGCGCGAAGGTTACCGACTCCAGACAAGAAAAAAGAAACAATAAATTGAGACAGGAGAGCGCGATCTCGAATTAAGATGGGGAGCGTGTGAGTCGCGGCGCGAGCCTTGCATGCATGCATGCGCAAGCGCGACTTTGATCCACATAACGCCGCAAGTGGGTTAAGAAAAACCGGACCCCCCCTCCCCTCCCCTCCTTCTCTTATCACTACTTCCACAGGTGTGCATTTTCCGCTCGGGAGCTCGGACAGCGTTGCTATCGTGGTCTCAGCGGATCTGAACCAAAGATCGCCACGCGTAGTTGTTTACACTCTCGCGTGATTTCTCCCTGGCCCGGATGGCGTTATCCGGGAAGGCGAAATCGCCCCGTTTGAGCGGCGGTGTTGGTTCTAGTCGCTGCACAAGTAGCTTGTCAGTTTCGTGTGAGAACGAAGGGGAAGGAAATGCGACGGAGGTGGGAAGTTGTTGCGTCCTTTGTAGCGGGTTCGTCTACCTGGGTTGCGCATATGCTGTTCTCGGTAATGCCAAGTCGGCCAGAGAGCTGTCAAGGCCCGGTTAAGCGCTCCTCGCCTCCTCCTCTGCAACGACCGCCACGTGCGTGTGCAGTCCATGCGGGGAGGCCGCTCGCTCTTACTGAACCCTTCTCCTCGAAGCTTTTGTGTTAGAAGTGGCGAAAGGGGCGTCCACGTCATGGTGCACAGACCACGCCTATGCAGCCAAAACAGCACTGCACCGACGACCACTGGTATAAAAAGACTTGGTTAGTCCGTGCTTGGTCACAGATCGCAAGTGTAGCTCGGAGGACTTGAGTTGCTCCCACTCTCGACTGTGATTCGACAAGGCATCATCGCCATGGTACGTCCTGCGTCGTCCATAAATAGCTCTTCATGCAGTCGCCTCGTATAGTCACCGTAGCAGAGACAATGCATCTCCTCACAGTACTTGTGTGCTTTGTAACAGCTTAGCACAGGGGCAAAATCATGTAGTTCAATCATGGTCTTGATCGCTTGATGCATGTTAACGGTTGGCTTGATATGGACTAGTTAACTGTCACCAAATGGGTCGGATAGCAGGATTGATGGTTTCGGATTGGTAGCCGGTCATAGCTGAACTGGAGCCTAAAGCCTGTGGTCTAGTTCATATAGGAGTTAGTTGCCAAGGAAATGGAGGTATACGACTGCGAGCATCAGTTGTTTGATAAAATAAGAAAAATCAAGCATAGCAGCTAATGAGCTGGGATAAGAGAAGAGTCTGTAGCTTAGTTCACTGAGGATAGTCTTCTTCTAACGTTTACAGAAGCAGACCGATGCTCTCCGTGTTCAAAGTATTGCAGCTAATATTGAGTAAGTCTTATTGGCGCGTTGTCTTACTTTCTGGTTCGCAGAGTTTTTCATATTGTTTGGATGTGTCGTGTAGGCCTGTCCTTCAAAGTTCCTACTGGAGAACCCAAAGCTGATAAACACAGCAAGTAGGCCAGTGTGTCGCAGAAGTCTAAGTGCACGTAACTTCGTTAGAATAATAAACTTAAGTTATATGTCCTATATTTACAACCATTCTCGGCAATGGCTTAATGCTCATGGGTGCATAATTACTCCTGAACATTAATGTCTTGAAACAGGATTGCCTTATCTTCTTCGGTGAAGGTACAGCGAAAATGGAACGTGCTAGAGCAGCATTGTTTGCTCTGGTTCACACTTATGACAAATGAAAACGCACACTCAATCGAAATCAGTAGATTTTGTATGCGCATACCTCAAAGTGGCCACCACGAAGCTTTGAATTTTTACTTTTATTATTTTTCTTCTTCGCAAGGCACGTAAGCCCTGTACGTTTGACCGTTGTTGCTAAGGGTGTTTACGACAATACCAAAATAATTCCAGAACGCAGGCTATTCCCGAATTGAACAATGATTTACTTTGGCGGCGTGTCTCCCATTTTACGAGGAATTCGTGCCTCGCGATACTCTGTTTTAGCTTTCGCCTATAGCGATTTACACGTCAAGACAGAACATACGATGCGAGCGTAGGCGGGCATTTCGATCGCGGATGGCAAGCGAAGCAAAACGTGGTGAGGTGCAGCATGCATGGCGCTCTGCGTCTTCCTTTCCGTTTATAGTCATCTTTTTTGAGAGAAAAAAAAAACAGACCATGTCCTGCGTTGCAATTTTACTCTGTGTCCCTAGGACGGCGTTTATTTTCTGTTCCTCTTGAAAAGCGCGAGGCTCAGGGCGCAACGCGACCTTCTGGGAAACATAGCTGACAGCGAACCGTGTAGGACGTGCACAAGTGCTGTATACAAGTTGGAGGAAAGAAGCGATTGCAAAAAAGATAGGGAAAGTGAAAGTCGAGCTGCAGCCAAGAAAGCTAGAGCTCGTATTTCATTCTTTTTTCCTTCTCGCTACAAATCCTCGATCGCGAAATGCCGCGATGCGATTATATGCGGGGAAGGCGAATGGCTGGAACGGCTGTCGAGAGGCGAGCGTTATGCAGCTTTTTATAACCAGAGCACGTGCTCCCATAAAAACAACGGGGACACATTCTGCTTGCCTGAGAAGCTATCTGTCCTTCTGTTTGCTCTACGTTTCTGCTTGCATTCAAACTGCGTGTCGCAAAAGGAAAATACAAAACTACGTAAACGTCTTGGGTTAAAGGGGCTCGCTCAGATCACCTGTCACGGTGGCTGACAGTATGTGACAGCACAGATCGAAGTAACGTCCCATGCATTCCATCGAGGGTCGTCCAGTTAGAATGTTGTGATTTTGGGAACGTCCGAGGGGCAGGCTTGTTTATATATATAGTGTTTGCAAAGCGACTTTCTTGTGGCAGCAGAGACAATGTGAATGCTGTTGCATTGCCATTCAAACAAGAGTTCAATCAGATAAATTCGGTGCCGGTCAGTGATAGCGTATTGGCATGAAGCTCGCCGACAACGTCACTTCATAATTTGGAGTACATGGTGGTGTGCATCCATGTCATGCCGAGACAAGTGTCAACAAAATTCATGTCTTTCTGATTATCTGCAGCTTTGGCTACATCGCTGAATTTGGTCGAACACGTGAAATAAGCTTGGTTTAGTAATCAATGAAATTTGGCTTGTACCTTTCAAAAACGTTTCACGCGTTTGAGCAGTGTCTTAGAAAAACATTGATGATAAACAGAATCTACTGATGTTGAAGAAAGAGGCAGCCACACACTTACTCGCCTGATTTTAAGTCATTTAGCTTACAATTTTCAGTTGGAAGCGCTTTACTGCATATCACACGCAAAATTGTCAAAATATTCAATAGATCACTTTAATATTTAAACCAAGCCGAAATATACGCCTTTGTCATCGTGTCAGCATAAATGAATGCTATTGTGAAAATCACTAAGGCCAGAAATGAAAGGTTCTCTATATGTTGCGTTTAATCAGTGTGGATGTGGCTACTCCCAGAAAAGACACCAGTAAAGTATGACTCACAGGCGATTAACCCTTATAAATGGACTATAACGGAAAAGTCACGTACTCCCTCTTCGCGTCAGTAATGATACCAAGGAGTAATGGTTTGTACACGTAGAACAGCAGTCGGCAATTTCCGCTCGTTGTCCTTAGGGTCTCTTCTCAGGGTTAACCACACCGCTCATTCACCATGCATGAATGTGTGGCTGTTCAGCAAACGTGAAGGCATAGTTAAGGGTATCGTGGCCGCTCTGTGACCATGGCAGAGAATTCATTGTCAGTTGGTGCATCTAAGGGAGGCCGAACAAATTCGAACCTTACTATAAAGAAATTGTGCCATGACGTCGGTGATTAGTCCACTCAAACTTGCATTAGAGAGAGCTTTTGTGTTTATCTTACGCTGGCATCTTTATAACTGCAGTCATAATAAAAACGTACAGAGAAAGTAATTTGAGAAGAGGAGGCAAATGAATCTAAGATAACGCAGGTGCTATTTGTCTGCAAGGCTGGGAATAGAAATATTGAAGCAGACAAAAACACGTTATGATGTTTCGCTTCCTTAATTTGAAACATCAAGGAACAAAAAGAAATTTCGACTAAAATTACATGAAAATCTATTGGTCTTGAGCACCTCGCAGGTGTAGTCAGCCTGTGTTAAGGCATGCTAAGAGTTTCACGTTGTTTCGAAATGTGTCGCGTTTTTCTAAATCTCGAACTAGAATCAGTACGAGCTAAATGAATTTTCAATCCCCATATTCTATTGCAGAAACGGCGGGAATACCCTGAAGAAAATAAAATAGGATTACTGGTCCTCTCATCGATACACCTGCTACATTGAGATTACATCCCCAGTTCCTCCATATTTGTTGTAATCCTGAATAAGTGTTTCATCACTCTTCGATATTTTCGCCTCGTAATGCGCTCAGAATTAATCACAACCACAGAACGACGTTAAGAACTAATACAATGGCGTAGTGGCGCATCTGTCATTGTCTGCAAGTCGGCCTTGGACAATATTCATTGGAATTACCACTAATACATATTGCTGTACTAAAGATGACTGCTTAATCGTATATTCATTCTCCTATTTCTTTTGGCGTTCATTATGAGTGATGTTGCGTTCGCCCCTCATATGACAGAAGTCCGTGTGCATTGCGCTCCTACTGCTGGCCGTTGCGGCCGTGGCGTACGCCGGAATCTACGGAGGTGGTTTTGGACGAGGCGGCTACGGAGGTGGCGGCTTTGGAGGTGGCGGTTACGGCGGAGGCTTCCGTGGAGGCTACGGAGGTGGTGGCTACGGCGGAGGCTTTGGAGGCTACGGAGGAGGAGGATTCGGAGGCTTCCGCGGCGGATACGGTGGCGGAGGCTTCGGCGGATACGGAAAGGGATGGAAGGGATAAACGCCCCGCCTGCGTGGGGCACGCACGCGCACTCACCACCGCACGTGCTGCTTGTACATTCTCATCTCAGTTGTTCTTGTTGATAAAAAATTGCAAAAACATGCCAATCATCTTCAGGTTGTCATTTATTTTGTCGACTCGAATGGAAGAAGTACGCTTCATAACACAGAGATGGGACCGCAGGCTTCTTATAAAACAGCAGAAGCACATATCATGCTTCACATGTGCGAAAAAAGATAAAATGACCACATAATAACGTTACATTAAGTTCTGAGAAACCAACCTTGATGCTGAGCAGATAAGAGATATCATCCTGGCCAATTTATAGTTTTTGAAATAAACTTTAGCTGAAGCGACGTAATTTTTCGAACGTCAAAAACCATTATTGACACACTATAGGCGCTCATGGTGTCAAAATGTAGAAACGAAAAATTCTGCAGATCTCACGTACCTGGGAATAGACGTTATGTCAAGCATGCGGAGGGAAGGTGACTGTGTTGAATTTTTTTATTGAGTAACACATCATGAAATGCTAAATATATGTACAAGTGTTGCACGCACAGACATAAGAGCTTCAGATGTTTATATAACCAGTTGTTTGCACTTGCGCAACGATGTCAACTGGAACATGCGTATTAGAAACACCAGAAGCTGATATGAAGAGCTCATGCTCGCGAAGATTCTGGCCCTGTACACTGCTACATAATCAATTTCAGTGCATGCCACCTAACCACAATTGGCGTTAACCCGACGTGACGGCTGTATCAAAAGAGTACATAAGTTATGTTTATAAAACTGAGTAGGCAGCACTGCAACCACTTTTGACGTTTCATGAAGATTAGCGTCTATTTGAAAAGTACTACCGAGACCTAGCAAAGCTCTGTGGTAGAATGCCTGACTGCCACGCAGAATGCTTCGGTTCGATTCCTGCTGGCACCCTGAAATTTATTATTTACATTCGTCGGGAGGAAGTTGCTAGGGCAATTGAGGGTAACGTGTTGACTCATCACGTCATTACATGGTTCCCGGCGCACGAAGGCGCCGAGGTAGGGGGGTTGGCCAACGTCAATGAGTTGGCCCATGCCCACGCGCGAGGTCTTGCCGGCCGCGCCGGGCACTCGGAAGCCGGTGTGCCGGGTGGGACCGGTGACGGGCTTCGTCCGACCCTTTCGGAAGCTGACCCACCCCGCTTCAGGGACATTCTTTCCACCTTTGACGAGATCACTAGCCACTACCAGATGAGCCGCAGGGCTTTCCCCTTGCCACATCGAAATCTCACGAGGCCCCAGGCCGTGACTCTCAGGCTTCTGCAGACAAAGTCGTATCCCACACTCTCCGTCTTCAGTAGGTACACAGAGGTCTCCTCTCTGTGTCCCGACTGTGGGGTGGTTAGCGACATTAAGCACATGCTCTGGGCGTGCCTCTCTTTGCAGCACCACACAATCCACGCATTGACGGAGGAAGCCTTCTCGGCTTTCCTCACGAGCCATGATTGGTTTGACCAACTCCAGGCTGTCCAGAAGGCCCACAGTGCGGCGGTGAGGCTTGCCTCCCTGTCCCAACGTGGGAGCGGCCCAGAGTCTTGCCCCTATAAAAAACGGGCTGAAGATTCTTCTGGACCCGAAGAAAGTTATCTATCTATCTATCTATCTATCTATCTATCTATCTATCTATCTATCTATCTATCTATCTATCTATCTATCAGTCTAGTCGCTGACGCCTAGGTGCTCTTGTGATTACCCCCTTAACTTCACTTGATCCAAAATTACTACGGGAGGGTACGATGGTTTTACGAATATGACGCGCTGGTCGAGACATTATTATTTTCACAATCTCGTCACGTACTCCGACAAAACCTTCCGCCAGACAATGACACATACCCAGGGGTGGGTATGTGTTACTGGTATGCGGGTATGTGCCATATGTTAGTGACGCTTAGTATATACCAAGGAACGACGAGAACACACATGGGTACTTTTAACGCGTGAGCATTAAGAGAGACCTGGCTTCGGCAGCGTTGTCAAGGGAAATGCGAATATTAAATGTCAGGGTAGCAGCAGATATCAAACCCAAGCATTATGTGTGGCAATTATGCATTCTATTACAGAGCCATGCCACGTCTTGCAACTATATGTTTAAATAGACTTTAATGTTCGTTAAACGCAAGTTGTAGTGGCAGTGCTGGTTATACAATCTTATGAACATTACATATATGTACTCCTATAATACAGCCGTCACCTCGGGTTAACGTCAATTGTAGTTAGGTGCCATGCGCTGAAGGTAGTTTATGTGTCAGGGCTACCATCCTCGCGAGCATTAGCGCTTCATATCAGCTAGTCATTTCTGGTGTTACTAAGTGTCACGTTTCTGTTGGCATCGTTCCGCAAGTGCAAGGAAGTGGTTATATTAAGATTTGCAACTCTTCAACATATGTCTGTGCGTGCAGCATTTATACACATATTTAGCGTCATTTCATAAGGTGTTGCTGAATAAAAAAAAATTATAACACGGTCACTTTTCCTTGCATGCTTCGCATAACCTCCATTCCGAAGGTACGTAGGATCTGCCGAATCCTAATAATAATTCCAGTTTAGTAAAAAAAAAATGTGTATCGAGCTAGAATGACATCATTTCGTCAGTATTCCTTCTTTCGTTGAGTAGTTTGATGTACGAAGCTAAGTGAACGGCAGATTTGTAGCTGTAGAACACGTGCTGGATCATATGTGCTATGCGCCTATATGTGTGTGCCGTGAGCGAACACCTTCTAGAACGATGACCATGTACTGCAATAACCATAATAATTTTTTGGGGTTGGACTTCCCAAAACGACTATTTACGAATATGAGTCATGCCGTAGTGGAGGTCTCCGAAAATTTCAAGCACCTGAGGTTCTTTAACGGACACCTTATTTAGGCGAGCCACAAGAGTTATCACCTTCATCATAAATGCGGCCACCGTGGCCGCACTTTCTACTTTTAGTCATATGTTAGGTAACATTGTGTTAGTTCGCGGGACCTACTCTCGGACGCCGCGGCCATATTTCAATGGACGCAATCAGCGAAGAGCCCGCGCGCTCAAATTTAGAAGCACGTTAACCCCACATTGTCAAGCTGTTGGGCCCTTGCGGCATCTCTCACATTCATATCACATTTTTGGACGCAAAACAATTAACAAATATTATAAGAAAGAGACCGCTTTCCGTACGGCCAGAGAAAGCTAAGCAGAAGAAAAAAGCTCGAAAACCACGAAAACCACGGAGACGACGAGTTAACGTACGCTACGAGCTAAGTAACCCAAAACTCAACATAGCGACATGCTAGGAATATTCGACTGTTAAGCCAAATAATGGACGCCCACCTCTTCGATATCTGCCATCAGCCGAGCCTTTCAACACGGTAAAAAAACTTTCTCAGCTCTCGCTGAGTCATGCAAAGCTGCGTCAGGCCAAAGCTATAGTTGACACTGGATGGTCCAGGTTTGATTACGCACACGTTCACTCACCTGCATGTTCACAAAATGTTCACGAGTACTCCCAGTGTATTAATCGGGTTTCAATGAGAATCTCTTAGAAATCGTAGCGCGAAGTACTTTACTCCTCTTAATAATAAATCGGCCTAATTCGCAAATTCAAGGCTCAGTCTCTAGTCGGTTGCATCTCATGTTAACCTAAGCTTAGTTAGCTAATAAATTAAGTTAGCACCAGTTAGGCTCAGTCTGAATTATTATTAGACAAAGTTCTAGACATCTTACTTTTCTCAGCATGACTAAACAAAGCGTACGCGTTCCGCATAGGAATGGCCTAAACTGCTGCATGTGACCACTGCGGCAGTGACGAAACAATTTGGCACATTCTGTGCGAATGCCCTCAGTACTACTCACCGAGACAGTCGCTCTGCAACGCGCTGGACGAACTGGACAACCAGACTCTTTAGGAAGAAAGAATATTGCGCTACCTACAGCAATTCTTGTCGCAGGAGAAGGCTGTGAAGGCGCTCCTGCGCTTCTTGCGTTCAACCGACCTCTTCAAACGACGGTGATCGGAACGCCCTACATGTGTGTGCATGTGTAGTTTTTCTTCCTCATTCCTTTTATATTCCTATATATCAATATCTTCTTTAGTACCATTATTTCCCCACCCCTGTACAGGGTATAGCAACCAGTTTTTCTAGATTAAACGCCCTGTATCTTCCTTTTATTTATTTCTCTCACAGCTCACTTTAATAGAGCTAATTACTGTGTGATTTCATCAGATTCATTAGACGTAGCGAATAAGATTTTAGAATGTTCAACATGGCTTTATATAGGGCTTGGCTATGGTCACAAAGGTTTAGCTAGGCACAGCTGTTCCTAATTTTACTTGACGCCGCCGCTGCGCCAGCATAATCATGGTTTTTTCTGTACGTCGTGAACTCGACGAAGGGTGGGTGCTTTACCGATGGTGGTAAAAAAAAAAAAAAAAACGTTCGTCTGCCTTTTAAAAATTGCCGGTGCAGTCTGCAGCGTTTCTCTTTTTTTGTTATACGTTTAATATTTCGTTGCCATTGAATCAAGGAACGAGTATCCTATTTTATGGTAAGGTAAACCTCCCGAAAAATAGAAATCGCAATTTCTACACTAAAAAAATGCAACATACTCTGAGGAACAAACCTTTGCGATTCCAAAGTTGAGCGACCACTCCAAGCGTTTCAGGTGTCACACAAAAGTGTGCTGTGCGTCCTCTAGCGTAAGCAGTATGCGCACGTAAAACTTCGTTTGTCTCAAATTACGGTTTCTATAAATTTTTCAACTTCAATACACCTTTTCCCAAAAAATGTTGAATAGATTTCGATGAAACTTTGTACGCGTGAGCTACAGAAGTTAGAAACAATTTAGACTAAATAAACTGCAGATTTCATAAATAAATAGTGAAGATGTAACAGAATTACTCAACAATACCTCCGTGGCGTTGTGCATGCAGTATTTTTGTTTTGCTACAACAGTTTCATAGAAATGGAATAGCTGTTTAGTTCAAATGTAACCTATGAGCCTCTACAATAAAACAGCCGAATATCATCAGATTACTTTCAGTATTTGCAAAGAAAAAGAATTTTGAATAGGTGAACAACCTCTA